CATCAAAGTTCTCGTATAACCGTAAGACATTGATGGACTGATTGAATATGAAATATTCAATTATTGCTGATCATATAATTTTAACTTTAAATTAAATTAAATTTAACTAAACTATTATCAATATAATTAAATGATATCAATTAATTATCCTCACGACATTAATTCTAATTCACTATTCATCCACCCAAATTTCATTTACTTTAATCACTTATCTCTTATTTTTATATCATCAACTTTAATAATTATATTTTAAATATTATTTTAATACAAACTCAAAGTTCAACCCAAACCAAATTCAATCAATTTTTTTTTTTTTTTAAAAACTAATTCACTTTATTGTATATCCAATTAAACTTGATATAAACCACATTCAATCAATTTTTTTTTTAAAAAATTAATTCACTTTATTGTATATCCAATTAAACTTGATATAATGTGTAAACCAAAAAGTTTCGTTGACCATAGTGATATGGCACTCAGCTACTCCCACATAAACCTAACTTTATATGGAAGTTAGCTAAAGATTAGGAAGTTAAGATAAAGATGAATCTTTTCTTAAAATGTTTGGATTTAAAACTTTTACAACAAAAATTTCAAATATGTTTGGCCGGAATTTTTAAAAAATTTCAAAATAATTTACTATATTTAGTAATATATTTATGCGGGAATTTAGATGATTTTTTAGTTACTATTTTTGAATTATTTTGGTTGTCTCTTTATATATTAATAGAATAGATTAGGACTAGTGCGTAGTCCGTGTGACGGGAAAACAATATTACAGTCGTATTATAGATTATCTTATAAATAATCTTAATCATGATTTACTATTTATTTTTAAATTAAATCAGGTTGGACACAATCCGGTCGAATGAACCGAGAACTGGTTTATAACCAGTCTAGTTCGCTTGAATAAAATATTTGCTATCGAATCCGTCAACACTAGTCGGTTGGACTGGTAGGATCGATATAATTTTCTAAATAATTTTTCTTACATTTAAAATTATTTTAAATAAAATTATATATTTAAACAAAATAGAAATTTATAAATTATTTATCAATTAGTTTAAATATTTAAATTTATAAATTGTTTAGATATTTAAGTAACACATTTTATTTAAATTTATTAAAAAAATTCCTATATATATATATATATATATTAAAATATGAAAAAATCACAAATGATTTAATTAAATAACTTGTTCGTTTCCATGACAGTCTGGTTCTGAAAACCTTATATTTATTATATATTAATAAAAATTATAATAAAATATTATTTTATTCACATAAATATTAATAAATAAATGAACATTTTGTCATAAATGTATTGTTAATATGATTATTTAAAATTTGGACTGCATCACATTCTCATAATAAAGTATTTTCAATATTAAGATTTATATTTAGGTTCAATAATCGATTTGATCTGGTCAAACTGATACATAACTTAGTCACCTGGGATCAACCAAGTTGTATCAGTTTTTTTTATTATTTTAAATATCACCTAAAATTAATTCAATCAACCTGGGCAGTATCCTCATTCAATCACCCGATTGATCCAAAAAAAAATCTTATTTTCTTTACATTTATTTAATTTTATGAAATAAAAACATTTTATGATATTATTCATATAATAAATATCTACACCAAATGATAGTATATTAAGATTATAAATTATATACCTAAAGATGAATTAATTATTCTTATTTTATGCATATTAATAAAAAATAAAATTTGTAATTTTTTAAAAAAATTAAGATTAATTGATTGATTATGCAATTTAAAGAATATTTTTAGCGTTCAATATTTTTTTGAAAGATAAAATTATAAAGACAAAGATTCTAAAACTTTTGTTACATTTTGAATTGAGATTTTATAAATATGGAGACCGAAATTTTAATGTTGTTCGTTGTTTCTAATAAAAAAATAAAAATAAAAACATGCACAGTTATTAGATCTTAGCAGGATTTTTTAAATAATAAAATGAACTAAAGCTCGAAATTTAAGTTAGCATTTAATGATATATGGGCTGCATTAAATTCTGACCTATTTTTTCGCTACTATTTTTGATAAATGGTTATTTTTATTATATATATAGATATAGATTTTAAAAAACTTTTTGAAAATTTATAAAATTGATTACTTTTATATACTTGATGTAGCTTTAATGACTTTTTTGATTTTTTTTGAGATTATTAAAGCATTTTTAATAGTAATACACCACAAACTTACTTTCTCTATTCTCAATGTGCCACATCAGTCAAATCTCATTCTTTTTTGTTTCCTTCTTTTTTTCAAACGGCAAACACTAAAATAAATAGAAAACTCAAAAAGAGTACATAGGAGATGTCAATTGACACCAAATAACCAAGTAATCGAACTTACCCTATTAAATTCCAAATGAATCCAAGAGATACAACTCCAATAAGGAGGCAACCACAAAATCAAAACGAAACTCCATAAAGAAGATAAAACCCGACAACCTGGACTAACACATGAAAAAAAAAGAGAGAAAATTACAAAATTGGTCCCATAACTTTGATTGTTTCCAACATTTGGTCACACGCATGCCATTTATGATCCTTTTTAATTTGTGGTTGCAAAAATTGTCTCACTCCGTCAAGACTTAACAGTCTTGCTCATGCATTGTTTGTCAATGTTCACAACTAGAAAGGAAAAATCAAATTTTAGGACTAAATTTGCATTTTTCAAATGAGTGGGACCATATTTGTAATTTTTTTTTTTAAAAAAAAGGAAAGAAAAATGAGTTCTTCAAGTTTGTCTATAAAAGAAGTCATATTATTTTGATGTTTAATTTAAAAGTGAAAAGCTGACTTTTTGTTTAAATAATTTGACTTACTTTAAAATATTTTTTTGAATGAAAATTAAAAGTACATTTTTATCTTATTGTGCACTTTAATTTTCAAAATTGTACACCAAAATATTGTCCGTTTTTTGGAACATTTGATTTGTCTTATTTGCTTGAAACATATACGTATCAATAAATTTGTTTAAGAATGCAATTATGTTTAAAAGAGTAAGTGAGAAAATAGACAATAATAATAAAAATAGTTTAGATTGGTTTTTTTTTTTTTTTAATTCGTATTATTTTATAAAATTTGTAAGGATATATATAAATTCTCACATTATACTAATATTTAAAAGTGTAGATGGATCTTTTTTGGTTTGCTTTATTTTTTTTGGTTTGCTTTATTTCATAAAAGTGTAGATGGATTAATAACTAATATTGTAAGCCTACTTACATTTTTTCTTATTTTGATAAATTGGATTATGTATTTTGGTTTGCTTTATTTCATTAAAATAATATTATTTATAGTTATTATTTTGTTTAAATAATATTTAAATAATTACCAATATTTTTAATGTAATAACGGTAAAAAAATTAGAAAATAAAATAAATACGACTCAATTAGCAATTATATCGATTACTTTTTCAACCCAAATTGAAATTTATCAACGCCCTTACTTTTCCACCCTATATTTATTTTTATAAAATTATTTTTAATATTTATTTCTCGCATCATATCATAGTAAATTATTTTTATTTTGTCATTTTGTCTTTGAGTGCATGAGAGAGACTAATTCGACTTTCAAGTTAAAAAATATGAAATTACCAAATTTGTCTCATATGATTGGTCCCAAAAATTGCTAACGTCTTGCACATGAGCCATGGTAATTTTTAATTTAATTCAAATAACTTCTTCTAAAAGTAAGTCAAACTATTTAATTAAAAGTCTTTTTTCCACTTTTGAATAAGCATCAAAATAATCTGACTTCTCTTGTTGACGAATTAGAAGAACTCATTTTTTTTTTAAAAAAAAATTACAAAATTGGTCCAATATAACGTCTTCACGTGAACCTCGTCAGTCTTGACTGACGTGGGACCTTTTTGCAACGAAAAATTAAAAAGGATCATAAATAGCGTGCGTAGGACCAAATGTGGGAAACAATACCAAATTTGTAATTTTCTCAATAATAAAAAGCATACACCTAATGTACAAATAAACTAAGACCTCTCTTACATTAACAGACCCAATGCCCGGCCACCCGAGACCGCACCCGAGCCACTCCCAATAGCACAGATATCCAACAAAGCCGCAAACTGGAACCTCAAGCCCAAAAATTGCAGCTACTCGTGTCGCCTAGACGATTTGATGAAGTGTCTGCTCTCGATTCAGATCTGGACTCTGAAAAATCATCCACGTCGAGGAAGGAGGGGAGTCACGGGAAAAGCCAACCATGACCCACGTCGGAGGGCTTTCGAAAGGAGTCCAAAAGTGTAGCGAGCTGCACCCTTGGACACGGCAACAGAGGAACATGAACCCATATTCACCAACGGTCGGCGAACTCAGGATGCTAGGGGCTTGGCGCTGACGACCAGCGACCTAACCTTGGCCGGGGAGATAGCGAGCAACGAACCCGACCACACTCACACGAGGCCTCGAAATAGGTGTAAAAGAGGGCCCCCAACCCCGACTTGGTGGAATCTGGTTCGGATAGTGCTGCTGCTGGCCTGAGGTGGGAGGGGGCGGACGACGACGACTGATCTGAAGTTTTTTTCTTTTTGGAGGAGGAGAGGACGATGAAAAGGATTCTTACTTTTACAATCACAAACCTCTCATAACCATGAACTTCATAAATCTCTTATTTCATGGGCCCTACATGTCTTTCTCTTATTTATTTTAATATTTTCATAAATAAATTAATATTTTACTCCAACCTCTATTCATTATTTTAAATTAAGATTTCAATCATAAACATGAGATTCTTATTTTATTATGTTAAAAAAATGTGGCACTTTTACAATTTCCAATAAAGAAAAAATTTTCATATTATTGCACATAGAAGATACGATGGAATAAAACACAAATCAGCTAAATAATTAATCTTGTTAATTAGGTTCATTCCCATTTAATTTACTAGATCGTGCCTAAGTTGATGATGCACTTGTCAATCTTGCATCCCGACTCTTAACTACCACCAAAAAATTCCTGAACAATATTTTTTTTTTTTTTATTTTTATTTTTATTTTTTTTTATGTGTGACAACACAACTATAAATATTTTAATATCAAAAGTTTATATTTTAGTTAACATACAAAACTCCATTCATTACTTTAGATTAAATATTATTATATTTTATAGTTTTTTATTAGTTAGTATTTTTATTAATAATAAAAGTGATTAAAAATTAACAAGAAAAATAATTAGTTTTTACAAACAAAACTTTTTTTAATATAAGTTAATTTTATTTTCTTCTTTAATATTAGTGTAGTTACCGTGCGCAACACGGTGGGGTTGTTTCCTCAAACTTTTTTCTAAACTTTATTTTAAATATTTTTTTTATAAATTAATAATTTGATTATAATGGAAATATAAGAGAGAAAAAACAAAGTATAAAATAATTTGATTACAATGGAAAGATAAGAGAGAGAAATACAAAGTATAAAAAAAAATCATATATTGTTAAACACTACTCTATACACAACATTATTAGTTTGATTTTGTTTCAAACCTTCTTCTCCACAACTTAAAATTTTTAGACCCTTTCTATTAGTAACACGAGAGACAGCGATATATAACTGACCATGACTAAAAATTTGTTTCTTCAAGAATAAGCCAACATGCGATAAGGATTGACCTTGACTTTTGTTTATAGTCATTGCATATGAAACCATAATGGGGAACTGTCTTCTTTGGATTTGAATGGTACTCTAACATCAGAAGGAGTTATGTCATCCGAGTTATCAAAACTTTATCACCTGCATGATCGCCAGTAAGAATTTTACACTCGAGAACATGATTGGAGAGTTTGGTCACAACCAATCGTGTACCATTGCAGAGTCCTATTGAGTCATTCATGTTCCGCAACAACATAACTGGAGTTCCGACCTTCAAATTCAACTCATTCCCTGCAACTTCCCTGTGATCGGTATTGATGGGGAGTGGAACTGGAACCAAAGCATTTTTTTGTTCCTTAATCACACATACTGGAAACTTAGTGTAATCAGCCTCCGTTGACTTCAAATCCATGTAGAATCCAAGGCTTTGACCATCATCAATTTTAATTGCTGGATATCCATCTCGTACCTGCTACTTAAAACTCAACCTTGATTCCACGTGGTTTATCTTCAGTAGATCTCCAACTTGCTTGGTGAAATCTCTGAAACAACAAGTTCGAATCATCGATATTCCTCCAAATTCAAAACGAATGTAAGTGTTGTCACACCACTCTCCATTGTAGTGCAAAAACACCATAATTGTCGATATTTTGCTGCAAATTACCACACAAAAAACCTCATTAATGCACAAAAAAAAAAAAAATGGAGTGGCTAAAAAAAACAAACGATTTTCAAGATCGATTTAAATCAGACGAAAAATAGCATTGAGTTTTGAATTATGTTCAATGGAAATAGTATTGACTACCTCAAATCAGACGAAAAATATTCGAAATATACCTTTAATCTCCAATATCGGTGTCGACTTGAGATTTGAATGAAAGTGTTCTCGAGCTCGAGATTCAGAAAACTCCCTCTAGACACGATTTTCACATTTCCATACCAGAGAGGTGATTTTTTCTGTGTTTGATTCTTTCAAGCGTTTCCATATTAGTAGCATCTCTTTTATTACAAAATGCGCGAGCGATTTCGGTAAGAATCAACTAAGATTGCACACCGATTTTCCTTCCTTTTGTTGTAGATTCATAATTTTGGATATTAACTTTTATGCGGCCACAAATCTGTGTTTAAAACTTTAATTTCGTTTAAATGGTATTGTTGTGAGATTAACACGTGGATGTGTATTTTTGGGGTGCATTATTTATTTAAAATAAACAAAAAATATGTGGAAAAAAATAAAAATAAAAAAAGTTGTGGAAAAGACTAAAACGGCCGGATTTTGAAAATCCGTTTTTCTAATTAAATTTTTATTAGAAAAATGGATTTCCATAATCTGTTTTTTTTTTTTTTAAGAAAACGGTCGAATTTAATAATAATAATACATCTACTGTATAACATGGATTTTCGAAATCCATTTTTAATTAAAAAAAAACGATTAAAACGGATTTTCAAAATCTGTTTTTTGCTTCTTAAAAATACCTGCGAAATCCTCCCCAACCACAGAACATTCGAACCCAACCCATCTCCCCTTTCCTTTCTTATCTTCCCAAATTTTTTTATCTTTTGCTCGATTCTTTGTGAGTTGAAGCTGCATTAAGAAAAAAAACAAATTTTCAACCAATCGTCGAAGAAGAGGTTAGTTGTTATTTTAATATGTAATATTAATTTTTGGTTGTTTATGAATGTTTAAGAGATATATTTGGTTAATTGAGTATTGTTTAGAAAATCTTGAATGTTGGTTTAATATATGTTGAATATTTATCCAAATTGTTTATGAATTTGATGTCATTGTTGGATTATGGTGATTAGGGTTTTTGTGGTGTTTTCGATAAATTAATTGACATTTTTTTTTATTGGAGTAAAAATATGATTAATTTGTTGTTGGAAATGAGTTTTAAATGTAGATTGGTGATTAGGGTTTTTGTGGTGTTTTTTATAAATTAATTGACAATTTTTTTTGTTGGAGTAAAAATATAATTAATTATATGTTGTTGTTGGAAATGAGTTTTAAATGTAGATTGGTAAAATAATAATTGAAATTTTCTCGGGTGTTTGATTAGCTATTTTAAATGTAGATTGGTAAAATAATTGAAATTTTAAATGTAGATTGGTAAAATAATAATTGAAATTTTCTCGGAGTGTTTGATTAGCAATTTTGTGTTGTTGTAATTTATAAAATAGAAATTTTTTTTGTGCAACGGGTTATAAATGTCGTCTAACGGTCCCTACTTTGTTAATGTGTACTGGAAAATTCTCCAGAGTGAGTTATGGAATTTTTCGAATTATATGTCTCGTCCGAATTTTTCATTTGTTATTAATGGAAAAATATCATATGAACAATTGGTAGATATGATTTACGAAAATGGTGGGTTTCGTGATAGTTGGACAATTTCGGATATTACTTTGATGGCGAGACAACAGGATGGTTCGTTTATTACCGGAAGACTGAATAATGATAATTCTCTTTCGTGGATTTACTACTCTCCTCCTATGTCCTATGTGTTTTTGTATATAGTGTTGGAAGCAAACACACAGGTTACACAGGTTGAGGATCCTACGCCATCATATGGTTATGAGGGAATGTTTGGTGGTGAGGGTACGTGGACTACGCATGCTGGTAATTTTGGTGAAGGGACAAGTAATTTCGGCGAAGGGACGAGTAATTTCGGCGAAGGAACGAGCTCTACCATGAGAGGACCGGACATTGAGGAAGAAATTGTTGGAGATGAAGATTTCATTCATGGTGAAGACAATTTCACGGATGAGACCTCGGAAACCGAATCGGACAGATCAATTAATGAGAAGAGCGAACAAGAATTCATTGAAGAACACCCCTTTCCAAATGAAGGTCTCTACGATTATCGCGAGATGGGTGAGTGGGACTCGTCATGTGTAGACAGGGACGAGTATGCCTTGCCAGTCTGGGATGGGCATGCCGAGACTATCCGTTTGGGTACAGTTTTTCGTACCAAGGAAGAAGCCCGGACTGGTATTATGGTCTGGAATGTTGAGAATCTTAGGGCGGTCCAGACAAAAGATTCCAAAAAGAAGTTG